CAAGTATTTTCCTAAATGGATCACGGATACGAGAGCACCACATTTCTGGCATTTCATGATCATATCGTTCACCTAAAGGACATAATGCTTCTAATATTCTTCTATATTCTTCGAAGTTTACATCACTATAGCCTACAGAAACTAGCTTATATTGGGCTCTACTATCTAAATCCATATTAGCGTTTTGCTAGATTATAACAGAATATAACGATTTTATTGATTTATACTGTTTTTAGTGATTTAGCAATATTATACTCTAATAAATATCAGATTCATTTTTATACGGATTTGCTGGTTAAGCAGTTTTAATGATTTATAGCGGTTTTATTGATTTGTAGCCGATTTAGTGAGACTACATACTGGTAAATACAAATTCATTTTATTCGTATCGGAGATTTATATAGGAAGCTATGCTAATTTTATATTTACACGGCTAAATTGGTTTGTGACATGATGTATAACGTATCACATGTGATCTCCTAAATCCTGCCAGTTCCTAGGAGAGTTCCAGGAGCTGGAGATTTTCTATAAATCACGAGAAGATCGGCTAATTATATTCCGGGAAAATTAGATGACACAGATGCAGTAATCCTGACGCAGTACAAAGGAATTCCGGACATGCATGTCCACTAATTATGCAGTGTTAGTATCGATCAAATATTTTTGGACATGCATGTCCGCTAATTATGTGGTGTCAGTGTCGGTCAAATATTTTGGACATGCATGTCTACTAATTATGTGGTGGTCAGTATCAATCAAAAAAATATGGAAAAAATTAAATGGCCGAACTGGCTAAACTTTATTAATGTATGTAAGTTTTCAGAACACTAAACTATCCCCGAAGCACTTTAACAATTACGTATTTAATGTCTTCCTTAGACAAGGCCGTTATAGTTGATAATGAAAAAGTTTTAATTCTTCCTATCATAGCCACCCATATTTACATCCACATTGATGCTACTGAAGAGACCATAAACCTTTTGAGCTCTTTCAATTCTTTTTCGAAGAGCTTCTTCTGAAATATCTTTGGGAAGCTGTTTCTGCACATCATCCTCAACTAGAGACTGAGACGCCAAATCTTCATGATTCAATCTATATTGATCATACCTTTTCTTCATTGCTTCCCCAAAATCAAAGTAATGGCGAAGAACATCTTGCGTTGTCTTTTTTAGTAGGTCTTCACCAGCAACAATCTTATTATATAGGTTGAGGAAGATATTTGAGTCATTGTTCGATTCAGAGGCGGGTTCAGTTAGCAAAATTTCTTCATCTCCAGAATCAGTAGTAGTCAATTCTTTAATCAGTCTCTGCAATGTAGGGGATTGATCCCGACCAACCGGCTTCTTAGTCTTCTTTGCCTTTTTTCCAGAAGTAGATGTGGAGCCGAGAGGCGCTTCGCATGATTCGTTACTATCTTCCCTAGTACGTTTTTTCTGGTTTGTAGATTCTTCCGTAAGCGCGTCATCATTGTTATCTACGTACTTGGGGGCTGTCTGGTTTTGCAATCCCTTTAAAAGATCCCGAGAGAGAAAAGTTTCGATATCTCTATTACAACCATCATAAGGGCAACTCGACTCACCATCCACCAGATACTCTTCGAGACACTTTTGGTGAAAAATGTGCCCAAACGAAGCTAAGGTAAACTCTTTGATTATGGAGAGTTCAAGCGTATAAATATCATCCCCACATATTTGACACGGATCTACTTTTGGAATATTAGTATTCTCACTGAGGGGAGAGCGTTAGCTTTACTAACGATATTTATTGCAAGAGCTTCGATATGTGATTTATCCATACTGCCTCGTTCACTTCTGGCGCAGGGTTAAACTCAGGAAAAGACCTTTTGCCAGCTTCTTTTATATCACTTGTAAATTTCGCAGATGAAAACATTCCCCGGATTTTCACTAGCAATTACGCACTGCATTTCGTCATTCATTAATCCCTTGCAAATCAAATCTCATATACGAGATATTGATTGCCGGAAAAAAATATCCATACCTGAATATTGTTTTATTGATATGATAATAGCGTGCCGCAAATAATAAAAAATAATGTGAATATATATGCGGATCTTACGTCGCACAGCCCCTATTCTTCGGCAGGAATATCTTCGATCTCACATGATGAATTCACTATTGGGATTCCACAAAAGTCACATGATTCATATCAGATGGCAACGGTTTTTCAAGTCTTTCCAAATTTTCCGATCCATGATTATTACTCGGAGTCTTTTAATTTATTTTTTATTTTTGTTAATTTATTTAATTAACTCCTTTTCACATACGTAAATTTTTGACATAATAAAATCTTTTATTTATAGCTATGAATTATTACAAAATGATACCATTTCATGCTAACAATTTTCTATTTTAGCTTTTTTCATTATAAAATGAACGTTCAATATTAACAAAACCAGAATCTGTCTTGTCAGTCACATTAGTACATGTATTATTATTTACTGTGAGGATAAGATCCTCACTTCTACGGAAACGTTCAAGTGACATAAATTTTTCATTAAAATCTTCAAGGCCATTGAAATCAATTTCAAGGGTATGAGATACCTTGGGACACATCACCAGCTTTGGTTTAAAGTCCACCACTTTATTTAATGCACCAGCGACAGTAAAATTAAAGTGTAAAACTTGAGTGATTATGACTCGGAACCCACATATTTTTTCACAAATAAGCCATTTACTAATGTGATTCCTAGGTTCAATTTCAAGAATCTGATCAGTAGATCTTCTTTTATACATCCAATGATCCCCAGTAGTACCGCAACCCCAAGTTTTTAAGTGCCATTCATCTGACATAGTCTTAGTACTTTCAGATTTTTTCATTAGGAATCCGACCTTTGATGATGTCCCAAGATCTAAATTGCCTTGCTTCTCAGTACCTACTAAACTTTTAACAATATGATTTTTCACTTTTGGAAAGTAATATTCTCGCTCATATAGTGCACTTCTGTTATTAGTTGCATCTGTAATCGGAGAAAAGCTAATTGTAGCAGATTCAAGAAAATATCCTCTACCAAAACTGGAGAGTTGCTTCCAATTTTGATTAAGCAATGCACCTGCTCTACATTCAGTTATATCAGCATCGATGAAAAGCATTCGGTTAGAATCATCATCATTATGAATATTTGCATGGAAATGAACACGGATAGTAAATCTTTGAAAATGACCTTCACATTCAACAGATACTCCAGAAGAAACTTTAATGACTTTTCTCCCTTTAATATCACTGCTACGGCGGCTACAATCACCACCGCCATCATTATTAATATCACTGTCGCCATAATCTCTATCATCATCATTTTCATCACCTTTTCTCTTTCCAAATCTTTGCCTTTTCCTATCATTTGACTTATTTTCAAATCCACTGCGACCTCCTGAAGTACTACTGCCATTCTTACTTACGTAATCGGTTGTTTCCATCATTTTGCATGGTTCTCCTAAAGTACTACCACCGCCACTGTTACTTGCGTAATTGGTTGTTTCCATCATTTCGCATACAACTTTAAACTCACCATCATATATTTCTCCAAGTTGTTCTAGAGTTGATTGGCTTAAAGGCGCTGTTACCCAACAGGTAATGCACGGAAAGTTATAATCTTCATGAAAGCTGGGACCGATAAAATATACTGGTTGCGACTCCAGTACACGATCAATACAATCTTTCTTATCAACGAGTAGTTTATATAATTGTTCGACTTCAACGTGCTTATCAGCTGAGGGTCCGTAAGAAATGGTCGCATTTACTGTGATAAATTTCGAGGAAGCAGTACTACTTTCAATACTAGGCAGGCAAAGACGAATTCTATTATAGATAATATCATCGGCATCATGTTTTTCTGTTTTGGCCATTTTTTCGAGATCGCCTCATTATTTTTTTTTCTCTCTCTAACGCTGGATCAATTAGATCTGTATGATGCATTTCATCTATACTCAAAAATAGTCTGAAATTTTTTAAGCTATCATATGATCAATCACGTGACATTCAACCAATAAAATCTGATCCACATGATAACGATTTATATAACAACTTTGCAAAGATAGATTTTACCTACCCAAGAATAATTACAATTTTCTTGAGCATAATGTTTTGCTGCTCCCTAATATCATTCAATAAAATTTAATTCACAATGAAACTTGGGTAAAAAATACATACATGACCAGCAGAGGCAAGCAGAATAGCATAAAAGTTATTATTTATATTGGATTTGCAATATCAGGTCTAGCTCAAATCGCGTCACTTTATTCCTTGATTTTTGATGACTTCTCCTAAGGCAAACAGAATAATAAAAAATTTTTAATATATTATTTAGGATTAAAATCAGGCTAGAATGGTTAAATCAAACAGTATAATTCTTGATATCTAAAGGTTAATTCCTAGCTAAGTTCGATATCATCATCTATATTTAAGTTAATTGCATTACCCTATAAAAAATCGAAATAATGAAATGATACATTTTTTATAAGGTTTGTATAAGTAATTAATGATTCTATATCAAAATTCCGTATGTTTTA